CCCCAAAACCCCAAAACCCCAAAACCCCAAAACCCCTTTTTCATTAATAATTTTTGAAATCCAAATTATGGACGCAGGCATAGAGACTCTCTTCAGCAAGCAACCAATAGTAATTGACAATGGATCTGGCATCATGAAGGCAGGATTCTCTGGCGATGAAAGACCAAAGATGATCTTCAACAACTATGTTGGCAGGACTAAATATAGTAAACAGATGTTGACCACTAATGATCTGGATTTGTATATCGGCCCAGAATGAGAGAAGAACAAGGGTCTGTATAAGCTGACCTATCCCATGACTCATGGCAATGTCACTAATTGGGACGACATGGAGAAGATATGGGGGTATATATTCAAGGAGATGAAGGTATCAGCAAGTCAACACCCTGTCCTGCTCTCTGAACCTATTGAGAATCCAATGGTTAATAGAGAGAAAACAGCTGAAGCTTTCTTTGAAGGGATGGGTACACCTGCTCTGTACTTTCAGACTCAGCCAATTTTGTCACTGTATGCACAGGGAAAAACAACGGGATTCGTTCTAGACTGTGGTGATGGAGTCACTCAGTGTGTGCCGATTGTTGAAGGATTTGCCATTACTGGAGCATATAGCAGAATTGATCTTGGAGGTAGAGATATTACTGAATACTTTATGCTTCTGTTGAAAAGAGCGGGTTACAACTTTCATACTTCTGCAGAGTTCCAAATTGTGAGACAAATTAAAGAAAAGATATGAACAGCTACTACAAGTCCTTTTAAAGAAGATGAATATAAGGATCATCTCAAAGGCACAAATATTGAATACTTTTTGCCAGATGGAAGCATTCTGAATCTCAAAAATGAGCATATGGAAGCTCCTGAGATTCTTTTCACTCCTCAGAAGATAGGACTAGAGTATCCTGGAATTCCAGAAATGTTGATCAACTGTGTCATGAAGTGTGACATTGATTTGAGAAATACCATTTTTAGCAATTTAATTGTCTCAGGAGGTACATCAGCTTTGAAAAAATTCGCAGAAAGACTACATAAATCAATCACAAAACTCTCTCCAAAAGATGTCAAAATCAAGCTTGTTGCTCCTAAGAATAGGTAAGTTCCTCAAATTATTCCAAAAATAGGGACATCTCAACCTGGGTTGGAGGATCAACCTTGTCATCTCTCAAAGCATTCAATGACTTGTGGGTAACGAAGGAAGAGTATAAAGAAAAAGGTCCAAATGTTTTCAGAGAATATATGTAATTCAGTAGCATTAACCACTCAAGGGGTTTTGGGGTTTTGGGGTTTTGGGGTTTTGGGGTTTTGGGG